ACAAAAGTGAAGGAAAGTGGCTAATGTAATTTCTTTTGGAATCATAGCGTCTAACCTTTTGCTGAAAATAACATCTTCAACAATATCTCTAGTGTGTGGCTCTTCTAGAGGCTCAAAACACTCATGCATCACGTGAAGAGCAACATTAAGCTTGCTGTAGCTCTGGGCCTGAATCTCAATAGTCGAAGCACCAAAGCCTGTGCTGTCAGACTCCACAAATTTCAGTAATGTCCAAGAAAGATTTTCCACACCCACTGGGATTGGTTTGCCTAGAAGTGCAGAGAGACTAGAGAATATCTGCACCATGCCAAATCCATACACTCAGAATCGTATCTAAGAGAATTCTAAGGATGATTCATTCTAATTTACGGCAAAAATCAGTATTGGTCACTCAAGTTCTTTTCTGAAGCGAGCCTATTTGACAAGATGGGTTACCTGATGACTTAAGCCAGTAGTATTTTTTTCACCAGGTAATAAATCATATCTCTTCATAAAATGTTGCATTTAAGATTGAGTCTATTTCTCTTCATCCATTTTGCAACAGAAACAAGGAAACATGATGGTCCAAAATTTCTACATGAATTCACAAATATGATTGATAAAGCAAATAATGGAAACATGTTAGTGTTATTTTAAGAGTCACATGTTGGCAATAGGCAGCATCAATCATCTTCAGACATACAAAAGAGGAAACATAATCAGACTTAGCCTCAATTCCGTAGGTAAACTGTTTCAATATATATTATATGCAAGTAGCGGAATGTTTCAAGTACCTCTTCACAGTTCCTACTGCAAAACCAGCCTCTATTAGGATGATGTTCCAGCTCATCTATTCCTTTATTCCTCAAGCATGAAATATGATCTGCACCAAATAGAAGAGAGAGGTATCTAAGAGACAGTTCAAGAGGTTAATACTGTTGCTTAAGTTTGGTACCAATTGAACAACAAAGCTGGCCTACATTTATGCTCGCACTGGGTACAATTGAGCATGTGTTCATCGATGATGCTTTCGCTGTTGTTTTCTAATCCTTGATTGTTGCAGATTCTACAGCAGCATGATGGGCAGAACCAGTCTCCATCTGGAACAACCTGCAGAAACCAAGACGGAGAGTACAAGTTTCTGGAAAAGAAAAGTCAAAAATAGTAACCACTGCAGCCTTTGAGACTATTTCTAGCCAGTAGGATAAGGAAGAAAAGAAGATACACCATTTCAATATAATATAAAGCTGTAGACTAAACAAATTGGCTTACCGTCATATTAATGCAACTTGGATGGAAAGAAGATGGACAGAGGTCACACATTATGAGGTCTCCTCCATACCGACAGACGGAACATACATGGTCATTTTTCTCCACCTCCTGCCTTTCCTGCAGAATTTTAGGTTGTCGCACTGCTGAGTTTCTCAGCTTAGCATCACGCATTATTTGCACCTGACAATCTAGCAGAGTCCTTCCATCTTGCAGAAATATGTTGGAATCTGCCCCACAGTAGTTGCTGATACATTTGCCACCAACGTGATCGTGAAACCTACTAAGAGAGTACACCTTCATGCAACAGTTGCACTTGATGCCATCACGAGTTATGCGTCCTTCTGCAATTGAACATTCACCCCGAGCACTACGGTAATATACTTTTGCCCTTGGCAAGAGAACTTTGTTATCTACTAACCAGGACAACACGGTCTGACGATTCATATTTGATGCCCGCGCTACCATCTGCTGTGCTCCTTTGCTTGATTGCCGACATATTGGTTGAGTAACTATTGCATTAGTTTTTAACTTAAAGGAACCTTCGGAAGTTCTTGAACTTCCTGAACTTTGAAGTTGGAGTTGGAAACTGTGAGAATCTAATTCATCTTCTGTTTGATGTGGATGAAACGGGATATTGGTGCCATCTGTTCTTTCTTCTTGGCCTCTCCTAGTCCCTCCGATATCCATGCCATCCAGTTCAATGGATCCAGAAGGAATATCTATCCCACTTTCTTGCATATAGATTTTGCAAGCCCGTCGCAGAGAATAGTATGACCTCCCAGCTGGTGAAATATGTTTCAACTCCCGTCTACCACTGTGAACTGTATACATAAACTTCCATCCCTCAACTGCAAGGTGTTTCCTTGCCCTTTTTGCCATCACATGATATTTTCCTTTACCAGCTGCTTTCCTCCTCGCTTGGTCATAGCCAGAAAAGATATACCAATTGACAATTGCTTCTGGGCAACACTCGGGTTTAATGTAAACATATGACTGAGCAACAGCTTCAGTAGAAATTTGAGAATCATGATCCTTGATTGGTTGTTCGAGAAGAGGAGACAAATTTCCACCCCCACCATCTTCAGAATCCCTGTGCTCTTGCACCGAGTTAAAAGAAGGATCTTTACTACCTGAATTGCTGAACTCGAGACAGACCTGACGCAAAGAAGAATAGCACTGCCCACTGGGTGAAGTATAGCGCACTCTCAAAATGCCTTTATCCCTCATACTCAAAATGCCTTTGTCCCTCATAAATTCAATTTTCCAGTTCATGTAGACCAGGTGAGCCCTGACATCACCAACCACCCTTTTGTTCCCATTTGCATACTCAGTAATAGCAGATGGGCAAAATTTAATTCTAGGAACGATGTCTGAGCCAGCAGGACACCAAGTACTGCTGATCTTCTGGGAACTGGACCTAGAAGTTTCGCCATTGCGAGTAAGAATGCTACTTATAGGAGTTGCATTAGGAACAAATGTTGAGCCTAACGTGTCTGGAAGCATCAAAGGTAAAGCTTTCACATGGCAAGATGTGCTTGATTGTGAAATGCTGGTAATTGATTCGTCGTTCTGTGGAGAAGACATAATCTTTTTCCCAACTCTGTTTCTCCTGTCATTTGGATTCACTGCCCCAGCTGAGTCTACTTTAGCACATACGGCATTACAGCTAAGTGATTTAGCAAGCTTAGTCAAATTTTTCATACCTTGTGGAAGACTTGCCTCCTGGAAAAGGTGGTTCAGGACAATTTTCAGATTGTCATTAATCGTGTCCACGAGCAACTCTTCCCAGATAGATCTTGAACATGAAGTCCACCCCCCAAGCTTCTTAAACCCTTCCTTCTCCTGCAAGTCATACCAAAGTTGCTTAACAGATACAGGAAGACAACGCACTTGTTCATATTCCTCAATCAACTCTAGAAACAACCACGTCCCGCGCTGCTTCCACTGCTCAGTGACCTGATTCCATTCCTGAGTGATCCTCATTGTATCAAGATGGGCAACAACTTCATCGCCCAAATCAGGGAAAAAGACTTTCCTTTCATCTGATCCATCTTGATGATCGAAAATCACCCCTTCCCACCAAGCTTCATTGAAACTCACATCCACACACAATCCATAGGAGAGGATCCATTTGCCAAACTCAAGAGGTGGCGGCAATGGCCTAATGTACCCACGATCAATATTGTCATCCACAAAGAGAGAAACATCCACATGACCAACAAGGAAATCAGACTTGTCATGGCGAAGCATGTGATCGTACTTGAATTTGTACTTCAGTTGCCATCGTTCCTTAAAACATGCAATGACTGTCCCTGGGTGCCATGAGCCTAGGAAACCTTCCTCCTCGCTTCTTATCTATTAGCATTTCATATGTCAACAATAGCAGTAGAAAAGCTTCCAAACATAAACAAGTAAACTACAACTAAAAGCAAACTACGACATCATATGAGAGTTTCATTTGGAAGAAAATGAAACCCATTCATAACCTGGACGGAATCAAAGAAATTAAGGAAGAAACAGTAGGGAAAGCCATGAATTAAGCCATGCATACGAATTACGAAGGAAAGGGAACATGCATAGATCAATCGGCAAAGAAGAACCCATGAATCTAAAATGCAGCTTCAATTCCTCCTGAAACCAGTTTAGGGAAACTCGAAACCGAAACTGGATAGTGGAAATGACCCTGTTACAAGAAAGAGACAACTAGGCTAAAAGGGCATGCAGAGACAAAATGTCGAAGGATTCAAATGTCTAACGAGCACAGTGAGGGAGGTCTAAAGAAAAGTCAAGCAACCAGACAAAGACAAAAACGCCGGGAGTAATTGCAGTCGCTCCGATGATAGCGTCAGGGAAAGGGGAAACCAGCTAGAGAGATATAACGGCATTATTTTCTTCTCCTTTTGTTTGAAATGCATACCTCCACTTTCTCATGCAGCGGTAGCAGGCGTACGGTTCGTCGGCGCTTCTTTTCCCCGGCGGACTGATCGGTTTCTGCAGAAGTGGAAAGCGGCATTCCGAGCGATTTTGGAGAGAAATTGGAGGGAGTGGCGATTGAATCAGACAAGGGGGTTCCTCACGCTCTATACATGATAGTCGACATTGATGGATGCAGAGAGAGCGGCAATGGAATCCAACAGCATGGTGGGGATTCTGCTTGGGATTTATAATGACCGCTTTTCACTTCATATCAACCAGTTAGAGAAGAGGGAATAACATCATGAAAGTTGGAAATAAGAGAGACAACCTCAACGTAACAACGTGACGAAAAGGATAAATTAAAAACGAAACAAAATTAAAGTATGATTGAATCAGACAAGGAGATTTCCTTTCTTGAGCCAAATCACACAGCATCCAGAACACTCTTTACAAATTACAATTAGGATTAGGATGGTAATGGATCGGGTTGGTTTGATTTTGTCAAACCCAAACCCAAATTCATGGGTTTATTCGTGAAAAAAACCCCGGGGTAAAATCTAATGGGTTTGAAAAACTCAAACCCAACCCAACCCAACCTGATCCACTGGGAATCTGCGAGTTCATGTGTACCCATGGGTTTTTGTCGTAAAAAATTTACAATAACAAGTTCTTATCAAAATAAAAGTCAAATATCAATCTCTCAGTACAAATTATCCATATATGAAATATCATTCTAGAAAATTCAAGCAAATCACAAATTAATCATACAAATTGTTCAACACCAATATAGAAAACTCAAGAAAATTGAAGCAAATCACAAATTATCCATAAACAACATGATTAATTGAAAGCTTTTTCCTCCTTTTCAATTAAGCTTGTTCACTCTACTCGATAATATCAACTTCATTCTACACAATTAGAAAGAAAAGGTTAGACATGTCTCCACAAACATAAAGAAGATTAGTTGTTTAGAATATTAAATATACCGGAAAAATTAATTATATAGGTGTGGGCGGGTACCCATGGGGTGGGTTTAGCTAAACCCAAACCCAACCCAAACCGATAAATAGTGAACGAGTTTAAACCCAAACCCGACCCAAAACCCGTCAACACGTGTTTTACCGGCATTGACCGGGTTGGGTCGGGTGGGTACCCTTGGGTTCGGGTTTTGTTGTCATCCCTAATTACAATCCCATTTATCGGATTGTGCATCTAATACAAATTTGACCATTGCAATTGAACAAAACAATATCATATGTTGCCTTCGGGGAGTTGTTCGAAAACGGTCCATCACAGTGAATCACAGAATTGAAATTACATAACGGTGGAGAGGATTATAACTGGACTACTCATAGCTTAAACAAGGCCAAATGACCCAGAGGCAGAGATACCCATGATAAAACAAAGCTAGAGCACACCTAGAGATGGCAATTGAGACCCGCTCTTATGGGTATTCCCCAACCTTACCTGTGTTGGGGCCGATAAAGTCAACCCATGGTTGAACTTTATCTGATCCACAACTAAAATGGAGCAGGTATGGATCATTTTTGTTGCCCCGTTCTGCCCCGAGCAGTTCGCACTACTCGCACACCAAAAGCTCCACCATCCACACTCTGATCCTTATCCTAATCCTATACCTTGGTCCAAACTAATAAAGAGCCCTAACTATTTTGATTCTCTCCAACCCAAATAAATAATCAATGCATTACCTTCCCAAGTATGCATTCCATCTTCCTTTCAAATTTTGCACTCCATTAATGAATGAGCTCTCCTGCGATCTGCAATAGCAGTTGCAGCAGAGACGGAATAAGAGATAGAGAGAGAATGGAGAAGAAGATGATGGCGGAAGCATTACATCAGGGAGAGATAGGGTTGCTTGTAAATGTGACAGTGGGAATTTTATTTGCCCTGCGCGGAGAAATGTTTGGATCGAAAAGTGCCGACTTATTGCGGGACACGAGACAGAGTGGAAAGTAAGGTTAAGAGAAGGGTGGAGTGCGAGGTTGGTGGTATCTGTCCCAAATCCGACTTGTTGTCATTCCTAAGCACACCTAAGGGTTGAAACTCCACCAAACAAAAACCAAAAAGAAAATAATAGAAACATCAACAAGAATCTTACTAGAAGAAACCAAAAGCCAACAGAGACCCCCACAAAAACCTAAAACCAAAACATAAGGAAGAAGCACCTACAACACCAGCAACAACCCGCAACCACAGAAACAAAACAACCCCAGATGAAGCTCACATCTCAGAGAACCATGGACGAGTCACTGCGGTAACAGAAAGAGACAACATTACCCACAAACGATCACTAGGGTCACATAAACCATGCTTCAGGGACGACGACAAATAGGGAACTATAAATGCAATCACCCACAAGGATGACCGCGCCAAGATTGGAGGAAAACCTTCACATTAGATCCACTAGAGGCTCTCCAATTTACATCACCGGACCTAGAGCAGAGCGAGGCCAAACCAGATCTAGAAAAATCTTGAACAAAACAAGAAAATCCATCTTCGCCGGAGAGGATTATAAAAGGATTATACTAAGGGAACGAGAGAAAGCCGCTAAGGGCTGCAAATCCCAATGATGGTTGGAAAATGTGAGATCCATGGAGAAGCCACATATGGCTGGAAAGACAGAGAAACCACAAGGAAAATGCAAAAGAGCCATAGAAACGGAGAACGCAAAAGAGAAAATTTGGACCACCGCCGATCACCTAGTGGTGCCAACGCTAGCCCTGCGATAGAGATGCTGGAAATATAGAAAAGAGAGGTTTTGAAATTGGAGAGATAAAATTTTTAGAAGTTCTCGTGTTTTTGCTTGTTCAGGTACAAGTCTATAAAACATATCCTCTTTGAATAGGTCGTGATTTGAATTAATCATTAGTATGCTATAAGAGATAAATATTGTTACGTGAGTTGATTGGTGTATGTTGTTATTGGCAGATTGACCTCCAACTTAACATATTGGCGTAATTGATTAAATAATATTATTTATTGGAAGGAGGGGTGTAACCTCTATTTATCACACTCATACTATTATAATAAGAGTTTCTTTCTCTAAAGACCTTTAAGTGTTTGTGAAATATATTTAATGAAAAGATATGAGATTTAATTATGTGGAGTAAGATATTAGTAAAATTATTTGGAAAGGATAGTAGTATATTCAGACGATACGAAAGATCTCTTGAGTATGCATGACCAGGTGGTAATGGCTAATGAAATGACCTCAAGCTTAAGGTCTGGGTTTCAGAATTGTGCAGCCATGATCAAACAAGAGGTTTGATAGATGAATGAGTTCGAATCCAAAATAGGGGTGTGCTTGACGGAGGTTTGGGATGGAATTGGATCCAAGTTAGCAACTTCAACATGAAGGGGAAAAGGCTGATTTGGGTAAGATAGAATTACCACTCAATCAATTGTGACCGATTGATTGAAGGTCTGCAATTCTTGGGCTTCACCAAGAACCAAAATGAATTTTGCAAGATCAATTGAATACTCCTCATGATAAGGTTTCAATTCAATCAACTATCCTCTTACAACGATTAAGCAAGGCTGTTTATAGACAAAAGTTAACTAACTACAAGCCTCCACTAACAAGGACATGAAATCAAAATAGAAAAGGGAAGGAATCTTTTTCAAACAAGGTAACTCGGACTCTAAGCAACTAACTTCTTGCCAAAGTAATTCTTCCTAGAAAACATGGCTCCATACGATCTTTGAGGCTCTGGGAAATGGTCTTCCAAGTTTAGTTGAACTCATCTAATGCCTTGACGTTGTTCAGCAACATTGTACTTTCGTCTCCAACTCCTAACTTCCCTCGACTGTCTCCCAATTGGAACGAATAAGTCTCCAAAGATGGTACCTCACTCACAGTTTCTGCCTTAGCCAAATTTTGGTAGTTTTGGTTCTTCACTAGTTTAACACTTGAGAATGCATTTGGATTGACTTGCAAGCAACCTAGGAGGCTTGCATCAGCTAAATATGCAAGATATTTTTCTGATGAACCATAAATCATATCTGCTTTAGCATGATTATGGTTACCAATAACAGAGTTGTCAAAGTTCATATCCCCAATAGCAGAGTTGTTCCAAGGTTAAATATCGATCAATTCTTCTAATAGATGTATTTACAAGATTTTTATTTGAGATATTTTACCTAGGATAACCCATGGTGGCAGGGGCGGACCCAAGGAGGTTTGGGGATGTCTCGAGACACTCCTAAAATTCGGGGAAAAGTTATCAAACCTCCGGTAGTAGTTTGAGTCTAAAAAAAAGGGGAAAAATAATAGTGGTTTGTGGGATTCAAACATAGGATACCCTTGTTATTAGATAATATATTTTCCATTAGACTAGAACTCATCTCTTGTTATAACTTTAATATACGTATAATTATAAGGTGGCTTCTATCGTACCTTGGGTAAAATCTAGGGTACGACATACCCTAAGTAAGAAAATACTATCTAGAACTCGAATTAACCGGATTTTTAGGCATGATACTATACCCTAACCATTGATGAGTGACCCTCGGTCTTAGTTTTCTAAATCATAGAGTCTAACCGCTAAGATTGTGCATGTAATTTGTTGCATTTCGATTTTTGTTTCTAATTAAATTGATTTTAGTGTATGAGATTTATAGAATTAAGACCTAGATTTTAATATTTAGAGGTTTATGAATAGTACCATATGCCAAACTCTGGTCAATTCGAAGTCTAGATAGCTTTATTTTACACAGGAGTATGTCGTGCCCTTGATTTTACCCAAAATATGATACAATCATCCTTAATTATAAACATATGAATTTCACCTCCAATGTGACAACAAAACCCTAAAATTAAACACGACTGTTTTATTCAACCAACTCCTTTCAGCTTTTGGTTACATCAAGAACAAGTTTCGGAATCGACTAGACGATCAGTTCGTGAACGATTGTATTGTAAGATATATTGAAAGAGATTTGCTGAGTATTGTAGACACTGAGTGCATTTTACAATATTTTCATAATATGAAAATACGACGGGGCCTTTTGTTGTAACTTGTATTAGTCGAATATTTTTCATTGAACACTAGTTGGATAATCCTCTTATTTAAGAATAATTTATTATTTATTTATTTTTAATTTTATTTTGAAAGAGTACACCCCTTCATAAAATTTCTGAGTCCGCCACTGCATGGTGGAGGGAACTGACAATCATCGTGGGTTGTACCACCTTGATAAGGTTGAGTTATATTGGTCTAGCTTTAAAGCTTGTGTCTTTTGAAACAACTTTTGAGCTTTTCTTTGCAGGTCGTGACGACCTGAACCTATTATTGAGCACTTTTGGTCCACCACTGTGCACCTCTTGCGACTGGCACCACAAACTCTTTTAGTTGGAAATTCTTTGCTTTTTTTAATCATCAATCTTAATTCGATCTTGTATTCATCCTTTAGAGTATCTAGGCCTAAAAATAATATAAAAATTGGGTAAATTGCAAGGTTGGTCATGTCATACATTTAAAGGTCAACTATAAGAGTTGTCTGTAGGGATGGCAATTTCGACCTGACCCGTTTTACCCGACCTGTTTGACCTGTTTTGGGGCGGGTCCGACCCGCCCCGTAGGCGGGGCGGGGCGGGCATGGGTAGTCTTATCGACCCGACCTGCCCTGACCCGCCCCATTCTCGACCCGTTCTTGTCTAAATTACATGTAATTTTAGTCAAATAACTTAGGATTTTCCTTTTATTGCATCATATTTTAGCTATAAGAAAGTTGTAAATTAGTGAAAACCTCAATTTCTCCAATAATTTAACTACAATTATCATAATATTGTTTGTTTTCTTAGTCTTATAATAAAAATAACGAATATTTCTAATGTTTTTAATATAAATTGCATACCCATTGGGTCGACCTGCCCCGACCCGCGACCCGTGATCAATTACCCGACCTGGACCCGACCTGCCACGGGGCGGGTCTGGGTACCAAGAAACCCGGCCCGGACCTGCCCCATTGCCATTCCTAGTTGTCTGTCACATAAGCAAAAATTAACGGAGTTGGACGGAGAGTGATCAAACTTGAAATATTTAACTAATTTTAGTAACCACTATTGGATTTAAATATTTCCAGTGACCAAACATAAACGATTTTAGTAATCTCAATGATCAACCTTGAACTGTTTCAGTATCACAAAAGGTAAATATGAAAATACTTATAGAGGATATATAATGCACAAAGGAACAAATACAAAACAAAACTCATAGTAAAATGACTAAAGATGTATCAAAATGGAAGAAATATCGAGAAGAAAGGAACATATTAAATACTAATTTTCAAGTGTTATCAAACTATCACGTATGTTAGTTTAACTTTTTTTTTTTGTCATAGTACATATGTTAGTTTTACTTGTCCTCAAACAAACATCACTTAAAAATCATGCAACTGAGCTTTCAGTAGGTTTTAAATTCTTACAAAAATATTTGTCTAGAACATTTATTTGGTAGAGTACGGTTAGCTTGCTAACCCTTCCAAGAGGTTGGAAAAATGACACCGCCTATTAATTATAGTTATTTTTTGTATTAAATTCATGTTGCATTTAATAATCTTTGAGAATTAAAATATCGTATTAATTATATTCCTTTTATTTAAACTATCGTTGCACTAATACAACTATCATTGCACCTGTACACTGAACTCATATTAATTACATTCCTTTTTTTGAACTACCATTGCACTTGTACACAGATAGGGGTGGATTCGGTCGGTAAACGGTAAATTGTTTACCGAATTTACCGGTTTCGGTATACCGAAATTGGCTAAACTGGAATCGATTACCCATACCGGTTTACCGATTATAGGTAAACAGTTACAAACCGGTATTACCGAAATATCGCGAAAGAGACGTCGGACGGGTTTTCGGTTCGCTTTACCGAACATTTACCGAACCAAATTTCTGGTAGTGGGGTGATGTTGTAATATTTTGATTTTTCTGAGTTTTTTTCTTCATTTTTGTAATTAATAATTTATTATTAAATCTTATTTATAATATTTTTGAGGCCTATACTTACTTACATTCATGTATGTAATATTTTATATTTGTGAATAATGAAGTATATGTTATATACTTATATGTTAATGCCTTAACTAGTTAACTTAATATTTGGCAAACTCAAAGTTGTTATCTAAGGAGCAGCCGGAAACGGATGTCCCTATTGTATTTTAGATTAAGAGATCTCGGATCGAATCGGTATTTTAGATTAACATAAGTTCAAAGGGTCAACAATAATGATTCATGAATCAACATCAACTCTCATCAAGCATCATCATTCATCAAATATTCAAATTCATCAAACGATAATTCGACAAACATCGTCAAATTCAAAGGGACAACAAGTCAACAATCAACATAAACACATAATCGTCATTCATCAATCGACTAAAGTGCCCAATGATAATGTCTAAATTCAACACAAGTTCAAAGTCCAAACTTAAAAATTAAAATAGACAACCAAATACGTTAATAACCAATAGCTCATGTTCCTCCTTCTCCGGTAGAACTTGTAGCACCACCAACATTTGCACAACCTTTCTTCTTCAAAGTCATGAGAAGAGTATCATCGGGATCATCATTGGCATCTTGGTTCATGTCTTCGTCGGACTCGGTGGCTTCATCATCATCACTATCCTCCTCTTCCTCCCCATTCTCCACCTCGACCTCCTCCTCATCAACCCCAACAGGTAAGCTATGTGATCCACTTGGAATGTCACTTGCAGTTTCCGCTCGAGATTGGAAAGTACTAGTAACTAGTGCAAATAAAATACACAAATGTTAGTATGTTACTAATGGAATGGTTTAAAATTTAAATAGTAAAGAGTATAGAAAAATTAGAATAATAAATTGAATTCTTACCACTTTCATAATTGATTGTCTCTTGATCTTCTTCCTTATCATTCAGTTCATCTGCAGTCTTTCCACTTTCATATCTTATCCAATCTTCAGCACATATCAATGTCTCCACAATGTTTGGGCTTAAAGAAGACCTGAAAGGACTAAGAACTCGACCTCCACAACTGAAAACGGACTCCGATGCAACAGAGGAGACTGGAACTGCTAATATATCCCTAACCATCTTTGAAAGAATGAGATATCTAACACTGTTCCGAGCCCACCATTTCAGAATGTCAAACTTCCGGTCATCAATATCCTCATTAATAGCATCACCAATATCCCTCAAATACTGCTCCAACTCTCCAGAACCTCGACCCCCCCCCCCTCTCAATTTGCTCCTTTCTCTTCTGCTGGAACCGAGCTTCAAATGCGGACTCCATATCAACAGATCTGTCACTAGTCTCAGTAGGAGTAGTAGTCTGGGTAGTAGGCACAGAAACAGAGGATGGAGTTGCATACTTCATCTTGTAGACATCGTACAATGCAACCATCTCCTTCTTTACTTCATCTGCCAAAACTCCCCCTTTTGAGATCTCATACATTTCCTCCAACATCATAGTCAAATAGTCTAGCTTATGCCTGGGATCCAGCACACAAGCCATGTAAACTATCCTATTTATCCTAAAGTTATCCTCCTCGTCAGCAACATCATTCTCAAACCAATACTTTCTCACCTTTGCCTCTATTCTCAATGCCATTCTTTGTATCTGTCCATCTGCATCTTTCTTCAATTTTGCTATCACTTCATGAATATCCACAATGGCTTTGCAGAAAATATGTGCAGTTACATATGATGTTCCTGATACAAAGAAAATTTTATCGACATTAGTATAAATAATATAACTCATAATCATTCAATTAATTATAAAATTTGAAAGTTATTAGTTCATATACCTGATACACGAAGAGTAAGCTCATAGAAGAACTTCAGATACTTCATGAGCCTCCTAATACTGCTCCAATCATCTTCAGTTGGAAGACCCTTCTTTGAATCCACATACTCTCGAAAGGAAGAATCAATAGGACTAGCATACATGAACGTAAAAACCTGCTCAAACCTCTCTGCGGAATCCAACATCAGATAGGTGGAATTCCAACTAGTTGGAACATCCAAAGACAACAGTCTTTTCCCATCCATATCTAGATAGCTGATGCCTTTCTTGAACTTTGCCATCCGAGCTGGGGATGACTTCACCCAATTCACACAATCCCTTACCCTCTCCACAGCAACTCCAACCTCCTTCAATTCATCAGAAACAACCAGATTGATGATATGTGCCTCACATCTATACTGCAAATACTTCCCATCTAGCAAATCTGTTCCCCGCCTCTTCATTTTCGTTCTCATGCACTCAACAAGAACATCATTCGAACTGGCATTATCCATTGTCATGCAAAACAAACTCTTCACTTTCCATTCTTGTAAACACTTCTCCAAAGTATCTGCAATATCCTTCCCCGTGTGACTAGTAATGGGAACAAAGCAAATAATCATCTTCTGCAACTTCCAATCATCTCCAATAAAATGTGCAGTCACACACATAAAATTCTGGTTGTTATCACTAGTCCATGTATCTGTAGTGATAGATATTCTTCCTTTGCACTTTGAGTTAAAAAACTCAAATCAATATTTCTTTCTTCTCCAGAAAAATGACATAACAATCGGATCTTATTGTTTGCCTTTCAGGTATCACAAACAAAGGCTGAGTTGTTGCCATAAATCTCATAAACCCCTCCCGCTCAACAAATCTAAACGGAAGCTCATCCAAGATTATCATCATAGCTAATGCATGTCTAGATTTGTTCTAATCAAACTTCCATGGAGTAAGAGAGCCTACCTCACCATCTCCACTTCCAGCTCCAGGTTGATAGTTCAATACAGACTGACCATTAGCTTCCTTCGCCCTCCTCTCGCACATTAGGTGATGACTCTTCAAACCACTAGTCCCATTGAAGGTTGAATGAGCTTTGATCAGCGTCCCACACCTTTTGCATTTGCCGTATGGGTAGTCATCAACCAACTCACGAGTGTAAGGAATCCACCACTTAGATTTTGACGTCCTCCCCTTCCCCTTGTCAATTTTCTTCTGTACCACAGGTACCTCAACAGATGGAGGAGGATTTGCTACAGATGGAGGAGGATTTGCCGCAGGAGGTGGATTTGCTACAGCTGTAGGTGGATTTGCAATAGTGGAAGGTGTGCCACTACTCGAAGCCTTCCCTTTTTTTGAAGAGCTTCGAGGAGGTAGAGAACTAGCTTTCTTCTTACTACCTCCACCACGACTGCCAGCAGAAGGTTTCGTCCTACAAAAAAACAACAAAATGAACACATAGACCTCCTAAGCAACCATTCAACAATTACTCATCAATTTCAATTCAATCAACCTCAATTCAATTAATCAATCAACCTCAATTCACTGACAATTTATCATTAATTACTCAATCAATACTCAATAGTCAATTCTCATCAATTCAATTCAATACAAACTTGAAACTACAATTCAATTAACTTATTAACAATAACATACATAGATAGATTTTCGCTAATAGCTAATTGGCTGCTGCGGAGTACTGCTGACTGTTGTTGGCTACTTGGCTTGTTGTATGCTGCCTCCCTCGGCCGCTTACTCTCCAAAATGCACAAACCAATTCAAAATGCCTTTCCTTTCTTGCTCTGATTATCAAACAGGCAAACACACAACACTCATAATTCACATAATCAACATTCATCATAAATTCCTATTCCCCAAACACACAGCTCGGGTGGGTAAATCATAATTCAACACACAGGGCAGCAGGGAAACGGGAAACCAATTCTTACCTCAAGGCTCCAAGGATGGCAGACGGCAGGAGGCAAGGACGGCAGGACGGCGAGGAGATGGCGGCGGCGGCCTAGCGGCGGCGGGGAAGCCGGAATGTGGCGGAGCCGCGGAGGAGAGGACTGGGAACTGGGAATGCTGGCGACTGCATCGCTTCGCGCGTCGGCGAGGGAAGGGAGAGACGAGAGTCGGGGATGGCTGGGGATCGTCGCCGCCAGCAGAAGGAGAGGAAGACGAGAAGAGGAGAGCTGGAGAGGTAAGGCGCGGCGGGTCTCGAAAAAACGAAAAGAGCAGAGGGGGCGGGTCGCTGGTCGGGGTTTTTAGGGTTTGGGAGGCCCCAGGCAGCAAAATGCAGCGGTAGAAATGGGGAGGGGGGATTTCGGTATCGGTATTACCGACTTACCGTCGGTATTTACCGATACCGTTTCCGGTAAACCGACTATCCCAAATCACCGCTCGATCGCCGATACCGCCGGTAAACGGTTTACCAGATTACCGTTTACCACCCCTATACACAGATACCATTGTAATGATACAACTACCATTGCACTGACAAATGAAAGTAATTAATATGAGTTTTTAATTCAGACAGATTATTAATTGCAACACAAATTAATCACCTAAAAATCCTATAATTAATAAGGGACGTCATTTTTCCAAACCTTTTAGAGATAGTCATGCTATCTCACCGCTATTTGCTACCTAAAGTTATGTGTGCTTATGAACAGCTTCCATAAATAAAAGGTATTTACTCACTACAAAAAAGTGTAAGCATAATCAATTAATTAGGCTACTAAATGTCTAAATCAACCAGAATTAACATTTAACAACTCAACAAACAAAAGATCTCGGAAAGTTTAAAATTAGAAAAATGGGAGAAAAGAAAGGAAGCCGATCCCATTCCCCAATCAATCCTCTCTCCCTCTTTGTCCATTTACAAAGGCAATCTCTGTCTCCTCCAGCAGGCACCCCATCCTTCCTTCTTCTCCCTCCCCTGCCCTCCGCCCAAACACACAAGAGAAGCAAAAATGGCGCCCTCCTCTGCAGCTCCCCAATCATCCCGAGAGCAGCAGACACTAGTATTACTCATCTCTCTGCTTCTTCTACTAGCTTCCCAAACCCAGGTAGCGTTCTCTGCTCTGATACTGAGCTACAGAAATCACCACCGGCAGCAGCACAACACCCTACTCCCCAGGATCCAGACCAACCGAACTGGCTGCGCATTGTTCGAAGGCAGCTGGGTCCGCGACGATTCTTACCCGGTCTACTCTTCCTCCACTTGCTCCTTCATCGACCCTAATTTCAACTGCCAGGTCTACGGCCGCCCAGATTTCACTTACCCCAAGTATCGCTGGAAGCCCCTCAGCTGCGAGCTCCCCAGGTACTAGCAGTTTTTACTTGACATCGAAAACACTGTTGCTGTATTCTGATTTTTATTTTATTTTTTTGCTTGGTTGGAAGGTTTGATGGGCAGCAGTTTCTGCAGAGGATGAGTGGGAAGAGCTTGATGTTCGTTGGCGATTCGATTTCGCGTAATCAGTTTGAATCGTTGATTTGTATGATTATGGCGTCGCTGCCTCGGACGACGACTCAGTTGAACGGCGGCGACCCTCTGTCCTCTGTCAAGTTCTTGGTAAGTGAAGTGGGAGTAACTTTCCCCTTTCTTCTTCTTCTTCTTCTCCTTCCATGGCCGGAGATATTTTATTGCTCCTTGATTAATTTTTTTCTCTTCTCGGCCCGTCGTTTTTGGAAGAACAAAAATAATGGGTCAAATTATGCGCTGTCTGGCACTATTTTCTTGTCCTTTTCTGACAACGTTTCTGGGTTTTGGGCTTTTGGCCTTTTGGGTATGGTTTCCTCTTATTTTTCACCCTTTTGTTCCTCTGGTTAAAAATTCGATGGCTAGCCTTTTCATTTTTCTTAGTAATCTATTAGCAAATCAAAGCGTGTGTTCATCAATAGAATCCGTGTGTTCATCATATATGATTTTAAAAGTTCTTTAAATTCTCATCCACTACCATTAAATGTTTACTTAGTTGTGTATGGTAGATGTATCAATATTCTCTTTACAAATTTGGTTAGGTCTAGATGGGTACTGACATAAGGATGTTTTTACGCTGTTGGATTATACAACTCGCTATGTAATCTTTGGATGGATCATATCCAATGTTCGATAAAGTTACCACCTTGTATATCCGACGAGTATAAATTGTGAGATGCTTAATTTAAGAGAGTTAAGACATCTCTATATTCGAATAGTCAAATTACAATATTTTTTTTAGAGGTATCTACATTTTTAACATCCAAGTCATTACTCCATTACCAGCTTTACATATCCCAACTTTTACAGCAGTATTCCATGTGTTCTCTTAAAACTTCATCGCCAATCCATGTTCTGCTTTTTGGAAGTATATACATAAACCATCATGTGTGCAATCCAGAATCAGAATAGGACTTTGCTTATTGCTCAAATAATTCCTTACCTAGAGAAATATGATGTACCTAGGAGGGGAAGAATGGGAAGGCAGACAGATAACAGACAATAATAAATTCCTTACTAGGGTAACTGTAGATATGTTAGAGATGCCAGTTGCGAATTTGAGATTCCTTCTCTGGGGAAGGTGGGGAAAAAAGAGAGGCAGGAAGCTAGAAAAAGGAATATTTTGGGTCCACAGATTGAAGTGTTGGGGAGTGGAAAGCAGGGGCCTTTTTTTGCGTATGCTCTGTTTTCCTTTTCATGGGTTTTTAACTTTTAACCTTTGGTGATATGGGTTTCTTTCCTTTTACCTTTTGGGCTGCAGGAATATGATGTTACGATCTCATTTTACAAGTCACCATATTTGGTAGACATAGTTGAGGAGCAAGGGAAGAGAGTTCTAAAGCTGGACCAAATCTCCAACAACGCTGCCGTCTGGCGCAACGCCGATGTTCTGTCCTTCAACACTGGCCATTGGTGGAATCATCAAGGTCAACTTCAAGGGTAAATTTCCCGCCATCAGCATCAATTAGGTTTTAGCAACCAATTGACCGTAGTTAGATGCTGAAGAGGTTTAGGGTTATCCATCATTCTACCGTCTAAAGTTTACAGCTTTGGTCCTGAAACTGCAGATGGGAATACATGGAAACTGGAGGCACATATTACAAAGACATGGATCGCTTGACTGCAATGGAGAAAGCTATGAGGGCATGGGGTAACTGGGTTGATACCCACTTTGAACGATCCAATACCCGTGTCTTCTTCCTCTCCACTTCTCCAACCCACTATGAGTGAGTATACACTAATATATGCCTCCCCTTTTCTCTGTATTCAAACTTGGTGCCACATTTAAATACTGTTTCAATTTGCTGAAAGAGTAATGCATAGTCTATATTATATTCTCATATGGCTCCTAGCACTGAAACTGTGGAACTTGTGCTCCAAATAACTTAAACTGTGGGCAGGGATCGTACTCTGGTGGGTGTATGGGTCCATTCTGTATTTACCTTAACGGCTTAGTCTATTATTGCAATTTGCATGTATGGTCCAGCTTTGGGAGTTGGCTATTGACAGGTCCTTGTGTTAGCAAGTAGCAACAGATCAGAGTATGCAGAATGAATTTAATGCGGGAAATCTACCTATTAGAAGGCGAACTATTATATTAATTGGCACATAGATAGATAGGCGAGAAGAAAGTTGCTTCATTTGTAACTTCACTGTTGCCTTAAGTTAAAAGACTGAGCAGTAGGTGGCGTTTTCATTTCTGGCTATTATGGTTAACTGTTGTAAATGAATGCTATTTGTCTGAATAGTTACTTACACTGGGTTTCAATGTTCAAAAATTAGGTCAATTACCAAATGCTACTATTTTAACACTTACTTTTTTTTGTTTGTCACCGGCAGCCCTAGCTTGTGGAGTGCCGGAGCAACCGCTGCAACGAAGAACTGTTACGGGGAGACATCCCCGGTGAGCGGAACAACATACCCAGGAGCGTTCCCAGATCAATTGAAGGTTGTGGAGGAAGTGATCCAGGAAATGCGGAGGCCAGCATACCTGCTAGACATTACAATGCTCTCAGGTCTAAGGAAAGATGCTCATCCTTCGATCTACAGCGGCGATTTAAGCCCCCAGCAGAGGGCAAACCCTCTGAGAGGAGCTGATTGCAGCCATTGGTGCCTTCCTGGCCTCCCTGATACTTGGAACCAATTGTTCTACACTGCCCTCTTCTTTTAGGCGCCTATCTTACACTGCTGTTTAGCATTTCCTTATTGATTTGAACTTCTAATTAGTCGGACTGATATTGCTTCGGATTAGTGACTATTAGCTTAGAGAGGCGCATGGTCAATTGCAGTTGCAACCATGGCCCCTTCTCCTCTTCGGCATTACAAGTTAGCTGTTGGGTGAAAAGTATTCAACGGCAAAGAGAGTAGCATTAATTCCTTCTAACTCCATTTGTCCAACAGTATGTAATCGCATTATTTCCCGCTTGGAAAGTGAAAATTACCTTCTTCTGGTAAAGTCATGTATTCATTTACCCTCTCTCTCGATATACCATGAAGTCGACATTCCATTCTAATGATGAGAAATGTTGTTGATGCAAATTCCTCGTTTACTGGTTCGATTTTGAGGTATTCCTTGAGGAAATGATGTATAATGTTTTATTGATTCCCTTCTGATCAATCGTATTATTAGAATGAATTAGTTAATGACAAGTTGACATACAACATGGATTGAAGCAAAGAACAAATGAGCTATAAAGTTGGCCTCCCGAAAAGATGAATAATGTCCTTGTCTCGGATTTTAAGTTACCCAACTGCATCTCCTTCTCAAGTTGTGAAGATTCCCTTCTTCGTTGACTCTTCCACCACCAACCTCTGTCTTCCTGTGGTTTTAGCAGCCGCTGAGTTTCCCTGGAAGCCAGCCAAACAAGAACAGTCAAAGATGATAGACTGACCAGTTCCAAGTATGGATCCAGTCTCCTTCATTCCTTCTCTCTTTAAACCCATCCCATCCCTCCCCTCTCTTTTCCTCTTTGTCCTTCATCTTTCTTCTAACCAAGTTTAGATCCCAAATTTACATTCAAAAGTTCCCATTTTCCCTTGCCCATTTACTCTCTGCAATCTTTCCCGTTACTTCATTCGCCTCTGAATCTATCATGGGAAGGAATAATCACGCCATAGATCACTGGAGCTCGTTCGGGGGATCGGTTCACGGCCAGGGTCAAGAACCCTCTCCCTTCAACACTACCAGCAAACCCAATCTCAGAGTTCTCCTCCTACATGGGAATCTCGACATCTGGGTAAAGCAAGCCAACAACCTTCCAAACATGGACATGCTCCACAAGTCCTTCGGCCAGATGTTCACCAAGCTCAGCAACAAAGGCCAAGCCCTCCGCGGCAAGATACCAACCACCGACCCGTATGTCACGGTATCGCTGTCCGGCGCAGTGATCGCCAGGACGTTCGTAATCGACGACACCGAGAACCCTGTATGGATTCAGCACTTCCACAACGTCCCAGTCGCACATTTGGCCTCCGAACTCCATTTCATTGTCAAGGACGACGACGTTGTGGGATCGGAAGTCGTAGGAGCCGTCGCGATCCCAGTTCAGGACCTCGTGTCTGGGAACAGGATCGAAGGTACATTCCCGATCCTCGATTCCAACGGAAAGCCATTGAAGGCTGGAGCTACATTGACCTTGTCGGTTGGGTTCATCCCAATTGATGGAATTGAGATCTACAAAGCTGGAGCTCGGTCTAAAGTTGGTTACAATGGAGTTCCTGGGACGTACTTTCCACTCAGGAAAGGCGGGAAGGTCACCCTTTACCAAGATGCTCATGGTCATGAAGATGCTCATGATGTCAAGCTCGAAGGCGGAGCTCGATACGAGCCTAGGAGCTGCTGGGGTGATGTGTTTGAGGCCATCAGCAAGGCGAGCAGGATGGTCTACATAGCTGGTTGGTCTGTGAACTATAAGGTGAAGTTGGTTAGGAAAGGGAGGAATGATTGCACATTGGGGGAGCTTTTGAAAGCCAAGTCTCAGGAAGGTGTTAGAGTCTTGCTTCTTATATGGGATGATCCTACTTCAAGGAGTATCCTGGGACACAAACATGTAAGAAATTGAGAACTAAAAACCCTTGCCGTTGTATTTCCATTTCTATCTTATTAGCTCATGACAACAATGGAAATGAAATGCAGGAGGGAATCATGGGTACAGGGGATGAGGAAACTCGGCAATATTTCAAGGACTCGTCGGTACAGGTTCTGCTATGCCCGAGGTCGCCTGATCAAGGGCACAGTTTCATCAAACAACAGGTTTGACACTACTACCATATATAAACTTTGATTAATGCTTACTGTTTGTGTTCTATCATGTCTTTGTGGTTTGATTCCTGGTGTTGGGTTTTGACAGGAAGTTGGAACAATATACACTCACCATCAAAAGACAGTGATAGTAGATGCTGATGCAGGACACAACAGAAGAAAGATCGTAGCTTTCGTAGGAGGGCTCGATTTATGCAATGGCCGGTATGATACTCAAGATCACCCCATTTTCAGGACATCACAGACTCTCCACAGAGACGACTTCCACAACCCAACATTCGCGGCACCAGGTGCTGGCTGCCCCAGAGAGCCATGGCATGATTTGCACAGCAAGATTGATGGTCCAGCGGCATACGATGTCCTCACCAACTTCGAAGAGCGCTGGGCCAAAGCTTCCAAGCCTCGCGGACTTCAGAAGCTGAAAGGTTCACTAGATGATGCATTGCTGAAGCTGGAAAGAATCCCTGAAATCCTTGGGATTTCAGAAGTCGCCCAAATGAGTGAACATGATCCTGAAGCTTGGCATGTTCAGGTCTTCCGTTCCATCGATTCCACTTCTGTCAAAGGCTTTCCTGACAATCCCAAACACGCAACAAGCAAGGTAACAATCAAAAGCCTCTACCTTTACCTCTCTCCACTATAATCTCTGTTTCAAAATCCAGCTAACATTTACCATTATCCCTAACTAAACAGAACCTGCTGTGCGGGAAGAACATACTGATCGACATGAGCATCCACGCAGCCTACGTCAACGCCATCCGCACAGCGCAGAACTTCATCTACATCGAGAACCAGTACTTCCTCGGATCATCCTACGGCTGGGACTCCTACAACAACCTGGGCGCCAACAACCTGATACCGATGGAAATAGCGCTCAAAATCGCCGAAAAGATCAGGGCAAATCAGAGATTCGCCGCCTACATTCTGATCCCAATGTGGCCGGAAGGCGTTCCCACTGGCGCACCAACACAAAGAATCCTCTTCTGGCAGCAGAAGACCATGCAAATGATGTACCAAACAATCCACAACGCGTTAATCGAAGTCGGGATGGACAAAACCCACGAGCCCCAGGATTACCTCAACTTCTTCTGCCTCGGAAACCGCGAAGCAAGCTCGTCGAATTCGGCCCCCGCCGCAGGATCGGCGAATACCCCTCAGGAACAGAGCAAGCGGAGCCGGCGGTTCATGATCTATGTCCACTCGAAAGGGATGATCGTCGACGACGAGTACGTCATCATCGGGTCGGCGAACATCAATCAGAGGTCGATGGAGGGCACCCGCGACAGTGAGATCGCGATGGGAGGGTTTCAGCGGCGGCATAGCTTGGGGAAGAACGGGAAGCCTGCCCGCGGGCAGGTATATGGGTACAGGAAATCTCTGTGGTCGGAGCATACCGGAGGGCCGGTGGAAGAAGAGTGCTTCGACCGGCCGGAGAGCGTGGAGTGTGTGAGGAGGGTGAGGGCGATCGGAGAAGAGAACTGGCGGCGATTTGCAGGGGAGGCGGTGGTGGAGATGAAGGGTCACCTGATGAAGTATCCTGTGGAAGTGGATTTGATGGGCCGGGTTGGGCCGCTTCATGGGTTTGCGACGTTCCCGGATGTTGGTGGGAATATCTTGGGCTCGTATATACCTTTGCAGCAGAATCTGAATAATTTGGGCTCGTCGATAGCCATTCAGGAAAATGTGAATAGTTTGGGCTCGCTGATACCCATTCATGAGAATCTCACCATTTGACCAAGATACCACCAGGGGAATTTTGTTTTTTTTATTTTATTTTTGTGTTTATAACCTCTCAACCTTTTTTCTAATTAATATACTGTGGGTTTTAGGTTTAGTGTTTTACGTTTTATGTTTTGGTGTATAATGGTGACTTTTAAGTTTAGTGTAGTTTTTGGTGTATTATGTTGACTTCTTTGGAAGTTATTCACTTTTACACGGCTTTGTACTGAATATAATTTTAAAATTTTTACAAGAATATTGTAGTCCTTAAAAAGTTATGTGAAATCAAAAAAAAATTCATGATTTTCGGATTATGGGCACAAAGTTATGGTCGTTCAAAGTTTGACGAAATCGAAAAAAGGCTCGTTCGGGGTAGCAAACGACATATTTTCGGGACGAAGGCGGGACCAAACCGCCTACGGCAATTTGCGGCTTGCAAGATCTCGAAAAATTATGCGGAATCAAAAAAAATTTCGCTACGATCGGATAACCGAGCACAAAGTTACGTTTGTTTAAAGTTTCGACGCAGGTCAGGCCTTCACCGCGGCCGTGTACTGCAGTGATGCAATCACTGTCTTCGCCGACAACGGTGATGACCCAAACATACGTAGATTGGGAATTATTTTCATAACGTGTGTATTTTGAGAAATTTTTTTTAAAAACATGTGTAACTTGTGATTTTTTCCTATCATTCTGCTATGCTTCATCTCTAACGAGTTTAACTTTAGTATTCATACAGTAACCCCTAGTGCCCTTCATTTCACTCCAAACACATTTTATCATTTAAATTTAATTTGTTTCTTATAGTTCATAGATACCTCTCATACTTTGTCTATAAGAAATTTGTGACGTTAGAATATTGTATAATGTTTTTTTTTTGGCTTAATTGCAAGTTTGGTCACTCGAATTGATTAATTCCATTCGTAGTCACTTAAATTAGTTGAACAGTCCAACTTTAGTCACTCTCCGTTAACCTCCGTCAAACTCCGTTAGTACCGTCAGTTAACTGCTGACGTGGCTAACAGAGGTGCTTAGTCATCCTATTTTACAAAAAAAAAAAAAAACATGCCACATCATTAACCCCTCAATATTTTAAAAGTCCACCCAAACCCAATCAACCCCTGACCCGAACCGAACCCCTAAACCAACCCATTCACCTGTTCCCCCTCTCCTTCCCCCCTCTTCTTCCCCAGCTCCGACCCGAATCGCCATTACTGCCACCAAATCATAATCCCAGATCTACAGCGATATCCCGAGATAGAGAGAGCCGGCAAGATTGAGTGGGAATGGAGGGAGACGCGATTCCCAGATCATTCGACGGTGATGGCTTTGGACACAGACCTTGACAGCGACAGACAAGGTGTGAAAGAAGGCTAGCCGGGAAGTTTGTCCCGATTTCGTCTACAACTCTGCTAGAGTGATAGCTATCCGGAGTAGTTCAATTCCCCATAGCTCTCTCTCGTCTCCTCGCCATCCCTCACAAGGGTAGCCGTATCCGGAATCAGATCCTTAGGCGCAGAAAGTACCTCAATTGCGTTTACGAACCCTAATTTACCCTTCTGGGTTGGAACAATCGTGATAACAAGCTTGTTCTGACTAACCCAGACCAAATACTCCTTTACCAGAGTGTCTGATACAATGAAGTTGCTCAGAGCAACATAATTGTCAACTAGGACGTGGAATCGGGCCTCTCTCAGATCGAAATTGGAGGAAACGAAAGGGTCGAAATGGAGGCGTACCATGTGAGTTCCGGGCTCCTTGATCTCGACCGCGTATCTGGAAGGTTTCCTGAAAACCCGAGCCAATTTCGCCAATGGCGTCGAGCTGAATCGAAAGTAATTAGAAATAGAAAACCGACATTAGAGAGCAGGGGGAAATGAGGGGGGGGGGAAATTTACTTGACGAAGAGCTGGAGCGTGGGGATATCGGCGCCATAGATTTTGTTCTTCTGCTTGACTTGAAGGTGGCCGAGGAATCCTCCGTCGTGAGTTTCTTCAATGGAGATTAGGCGGTAGCCTTGGCCGATTTTTGAAGTGGAGGAGGAAGAAGAGTTGGAAGAGGCGACAGCGCCATGGAAGCAGAGGAGGAGAAGGAGAAGGATTGTTGAAGGGGAGTGAGGAGGAGAGAGCAACTTCATCTTCTTCTGCTACTTCCCTCTCTCAGTAATCACTGAACTACTGCTGTGCTTCAGTGGTTGGCAGTAATGGCGATTCGGGTCGGAGCTGGGGAAGAAGAGGGGGGAAGGAGAGGGGGAACAGGTGAATGGGTTGGTTTAGGGGTTCGGTTCGGGTCAGGGGTTGATTGGGTTTGGGTGGACTTTTAAAATATCTGAATTCCTATTTAACGCTCTAATTTTTTAAAATGTTCGCCCTAAATTAACTAAACAGACAATTCTACCCCTAATTCTAAAACGGTCACCCTAATTCTCCACCTATCCCGTCGCCGGCGAAATTCTCTCTGCTGCAACTCCGCCCCGTCGCCGTCGAAGTCGCTGTTGAGGAAAAAGAGCTATTCGGTTGCGGTGAATTTCGAATGTGTAGTAGAATACGATTGAATTGCGGTCGGCGGCGGTGGCGGAGGTGGAAGGGAAACTCAATCGAGTGGCAACATTGAGCCTCTGGCCCCACGGCATTACGTCGGCCGGGAAATTGAAGCTCTGCCAATTTCACTCTATCCCTAGCATCCACCAGCACCAGATCACTTGTCTTCAGAATCACCAGCCTCTGAACAACAGGGTAAAAAATGGAGAAACCCCATAAATAAGAAACACATGTTGGGGAGGAAGGATGAATGAAAACTTAAGGGCTAGAGTTACCTCCACACCTTGTGCAGAAGTGCCAGAGCGCCATCTTAGCCGGCCATTGGAGCCCTTCAACTACAAAATCTCCATCTTTAGTGAGCTCATCTACGCATTCGTCGGTGGTGAAGAATGGGGAGCAATAGCCGGAGTTCCAGACCTTGACATCACCAAGTAAAATCTCCAGAGATAAAGAGTATCGCCCTTCAAGAGTTCCAGACCTTTGCGACCGCGGCGGTACAACAACACTCGACGACGACGAAGACTCCCAGCCGCACTCATAGACGGCGGCGACGAGCGTTAATCCTAGGACGAAAATTTGTTAGGGATTGGCAATTTTTGGGGCAAAAGGGTCAAATTGCCAAGTTAGGGCGATAAATTTTAAAAAACCTAGGGCGTTAATTAGTATCTCCCTAAAATATTGAGGGGTTAATGATGTGGCATGTTTTTTTTTTTTTTTTTGTTAAAATAGGATGACTAAGCACCTCTGTTAGCCACGTCAGCAGTTAACTGACGGTACTAACGGAGTTTGACGGAGGTTAACGGAGAGTGACTAAAGTTGGACTGTTCAACTAATTTAAGTGACTACGAATGGAATTAATCAATTCGAGTGACCAAACATGAAATTTTGTAGCAATTCGAGTGACCAAACTTGCAATTAAGCCATTTTTTTTTTAAACTTTTTGCATTTTTTGGCTGCGGGAAAGTTTAAAATGGATTGATGACTAACGGGAAGGTTCTAGCTTATGAAAGAAAATTGGAATGGGGAAACTCTCTTGTCTGTCACCTTCTCATTGCTCTCGACAGAGCGATTGCGTTCAATATTATCTCTGACCATCTTCACTGATTCCCAAATAACGTGAGGTGCTAAAGCACATAAAAGGACGGACATGGTTTCTCTACCTCTGGCGCCATCATCTTCTCGTTCCTTCCCTTGGACTATTAGGTTACGATCAACCCAACCCTCCTCTGCTTTCTAGTTTATTCCCTTTTTTCATCGACATTTCAAAGGATTAGGAGTTGGTTATTTTGTCCCAGGTGATTCTCTGCCCCTTCTCGACAAACCCTTACGCTGTTCAATTTCCATTAAATTCCCCCTTGGCTTCAATCGTTCGTATTAAAAAGCTTCTGTCTTTGATAGATTGCAGCGAGAGAGGATCGCATCCCATTGATTCTGTTCTCTTCTTTGTCTTTAATCTTGTAGGGGTTTAAATATTTGAGGCCCCTGCTAGCTGAAAAAGAAAACAGCAAAAGGGCTAATCTTTGGGGACATTCGGTATTCAGAATGCAGAGGAAAAGGGATGATATAGACGAGCTCTTTCGCATGGCGGATCCTATTGCTACCGATTTCATGGTTGCTGGCAGGATGCCTATGCCTAGCCTATTTGGTGGGAAGGATCCATTTGATGATCCTTTCTTCACTCGCCCTTTAGGGGGAATGTTTGAGCATGGTCCGTTGTTCCAATCTCGCAGTTCTACCGCCACTGCTCATGCTGCACGGGCAAGTGGTTCAAAAGGTCTTGTGATCGAGGAGCTGGCTTCTGATGATGAGATGGAAGAAGATGTTCAAGAGAAACGGGCAGGGGTTGTCCATGGAAAGGTGGATCATTCTAGGAAACAACAACCTTCGGTTCAGCACCCTGACGACGACGATGAAACTAATGGTAAATGACCCCTTGGTTCATATACATTTCCTGATTTTGTTTGTGGGGGCGTGGTGTTGATGATGGCTAGTTTTGTTTGTCTAACAGAGGGAAATGTTCTAGCTGTGAATAGAGGGATCGAGCATACCAGGACACAAGGCAATGGGGCGAGGTCTCGTGGCTTTAGTTACAGCAAAGTTACATATGGTGGTGTGAATGGAGCTTACTACTCATCGACAAGATCCAGGCGTGTTGGTGGTGATGGAGTAAGTGTTCCTTTGATTCAGAGAATTCAGTTCGTTCTATGATTCAGTTTTCTACATTTGTTCAAGGTTTTGGACTATGTTCTTCCAGGTGATGATTGAGGAGAGCAGAGAGGCGGATAAGACTACAGGTCAAGCGACGCATAGAGTCTCAAGAGGAATTAATGATAAGGTGATTGTTGTTGATATCATAGATGAGCTTTCCAAGTATCTTGCGTTGTAATATAGTAAACTTATGAGCATACTTGGGTGTTAAAGCATGTGTTTCATGTGGAAGCTTAATGTGGCCTTTATTTTTTGTTTTCTTATTTCCCTTTTATATGATCTAGGGACATTCTGTCACACGGAAGCTTAATCCAGATGGTAAGGTTGATACGCTACAAACATTGCACAATCTCGATGAAGGTATTCGTACTTCCCCCCTTAGTTGTGACGTTAACATTGGCAATGAATTTTACAGCTTGAGGAAATACTAAATCTTGCGGTAATATTACAGAGGGTCTTGCAGGGTTTGAAGATGCGTGGAGGAAGGGTAATTTCAGTGGTCACCTGCCTGGGTTTATCAATCCGTCCGGGATGACTGAAAGTTCTGGTAAGATAATAGCTTATCGCTACGTCCCATAAGATTTACATACATCAAAAGGTCGAATGAGCTGGCTGCTGGTAGAGAAATTATGAAACATTTGTAGGCAGAGTTCGGTATGGAATCAATAGAGGCCTAGTGGGTTTTAGGTTGCAGTAGAATTTATGATTGGATGGTGAAATGCAAGCTTGGAACGGATTAAGAAGCCTCCTGTGTTCTTTATTGTTATTCGAGTAATTTTAAGGTTTCTTTATTTTCTTATGACATTTTGTTCAAATGAATCTGAGCATTCTGAAGCAGGTTCTCGTGAACCGAGGGAGCTGGTGAACTGGGGAGATATGGCTAATCCAGCTGCGATATTTGGAGCTGGAGGAAGAGGTCAGAACAGATCTGGGAGCAATACTTCCAGTAATGCGAGAGCCAAAAAGATTGTTAGGATCAACATAGAGTAGTTAATTGAAACTGTGTTTTGGCTTTTCTAGCTGCTGTCTAGCAGCATTTCTTTTTTCCAGTGCTGTATCTTATTGTAAACGTCACTGAACCATTTTGAACGACGGGTCAAATGTTGTATAAGGTTCACAAATACAATAGACATCCCACTTATTATTGTTCTACGAAACTGTGATGTTCAGGAAAAGATAAATACAAACTACAATACTGTTTTCATTTCAGTGCAGTTTCTCTAGCGGATACTTGGTGAGTTCTCCGGTCAGCCTCCCACCGCTCTACACAACAGTGATTTTCAGCCAGGGAAAGAAACCAGCAGCAGGTCTCTTTTCAGATCCATATATCTGAAGTGCAGTCACCACCAGGGTATCTCATCTCATGGGCAAGGGATGGGCCTCCAGGTTCGTCTCCAAAGTCCACAAAGAAGCTTGGGTTTATCGCCAGCCCACCTTTTTCTGTGTCAACATCAATCTGCAGCATGTGGGACCCTTTCTCCACCATTTCTGGGTAGAACTGCTTATCCCAGGTGCTGAACAGTGAGTTGGTCACATACAGCCTCTTGCCGTCTAGGCTTAGCTGAATCATCTGAGGTCCCCCTCTCAACCTCTTCCCCTGTCAAAGTAAAGAGCCCCAAACATTTTTTCTTTCAACTTACTATCGTTATCAATGGGGATATGGTAGAAGATGAAGAAACCAAAAGGTTGATTTTTATGTACCTGAACCTCTGGAACATCAGCTTGCCAGGTGCCACCATCCTCTGTCTCAACAACTATGGGACTACCTTTCTGTAGGAGTCCCCCTACCCAGAGCTGTCCTGTCAAGACAGGATTCTTGACGTCCTCAATGTTGTATTGTCGGATGTCACCATGAAGCCAGTTGACGAAGTACAGAAATCGATCGTCAAGTGACATGAGGAAATCGGTTATGAGACCAGGCATCTCAGGCAGAATCCAGTTCTTCACCTTGAGTGGTTTCACCGATATTGCCAACTGCAAATTAATGCACACCAGGAATTATGAGTTGCGTAATCAGGTTAAGGTTAGAAATGCAGAATGAACAATTTGTACTGCTTTCATCTGACAATCCTCCATACCTCATGACTCCAGGAATCGTCTGCATTCTTGAAAAATCTCACCATGTTGCTAGTTAAGGCGCACCCAACGAACCCTGTGTCTTTGGAAGGATCGTGCAGGAACCTTATCTGGTGTATAGATAAAGAAGTTCTAAATGTCAGGCACTTTGTTTAGAAGTTAAAAAAACACCCTTGGCAAAGCAAGCACTAAAGAAGTGCACTATATATGTCACAGATGCAACCATGAATAGCTCATGGTTAGTGCCTACATACCTCCAAGGGTAGGAGGCCAGTGCTTCCCAGATCCAGCTGCTGCTTCAGCTCACCAGTCGACCAGTCATAGACATAGAGATGCCTTCCATAGAGACCTTCCGACACATGCTGCAGGTTAAAACCTTTAGTAAATGCAGCAGGAGCTCCCCATGATGTACTGATCATTGTGTTGTGACGCGGCTGGTACCAGAAATCATAGCCAAACAAAGGAGAATTGCCTGGTTTTTCCCACCTAGTGAAGCATGAATGAAGTTTACATCATTACTTGTAACAGAAGCTAGCTCATGCTATCAATCACCATCTTGCAGAAATAAGTTGAACACCAAAGATGAATTCATATTACCTTCCTTTCACATTGAAGTCGGGATCAAGGAGGAGAAACCCAAGCCCCTCAGCATTGCCATCCTTGTCGCCAAGGCACGAGACCATTATATCACCAGAGCCAAGGCAATGGGCAGTGTGCGGATATGTCAATCCTGTCTTGGCCAAAATGTCTGCCGGCTCTACAGCCTTATGCAGAGATGGCGCTTTAGGATCCTTCAGGGTATCTACTGCATATATGCGTCCAGAACTGGAAGGAAACACACTGTTATCAGAACAATCTCAAAGGTATAACCTTTTTTAATCATCACCATCCATCCCAATGAACTAGATGTCTTTGTTTCAACAACATAAACCCACAAATCTCAGATTGAGAATGGAGAGAAGTGAATTAATCATACACAAGTTACTTACACCAATGAAGGGAGGACAAGGAAGCGGCGGCTCGTAGATGGGTCGCCATGGCAAGAGCTGCAAGCATTCCACCCAGAATGATGCAGTTCATCTCCTAAATGCGGCATGGATAGCCTGTGGATGACTTGTGAATAAGTAGGGGAATTCGGATCCAGATCCACAGTTGCTAGAAAATCAGGCTTCTGAATTCCAGTTCCTGCATAAGATTCAACAACAAGGAGACATAAAATCAGCAGAAACAAACCAGAAACGAAGGAACTCTAATTTGATTGCTCATCAGTTTACACAAAAACAAGAACAGCCCACACAGCTGCTCTCCTATCCTAACTAGCCAGAAATGAAATCTAATTTTTCCAGCACGATTCTTAGAACCCAGAAAGCACAAACGGAACCCATTTACACGTCAATCAAAACCATACAACACGGATCTAATAAAATGAAGAACAATGGACTGAAACCAATCCTGCAACAACGTTTTCTTCAAATTAACAAAACAGGGGACTTATTGACCAAACAAAACAGAAGAAACGGAAGAAGGGAGGTTTACCAGTATAGACGCAAGTAACATAAATGAGAGTCTCCCTAGGACCAGCCATGGCTTCAAGCGGGGTGGCATACCCAGGTCCCTTCTTGCTGCAGCAAGCGCCGCCATGGCTGTGACCCAAGTTCAGCACCTCCGTTCCCATCTTGGTCGGCCTCTGTTTCGTTCGGGTGAAGAAGAAGATGGTTGCTGCCGATAGGATGATCTGATCCCAGTACAGCCTAAGCAGCAGAGCTTTCTCGGGAAAAGAGACTAGCACGTTTGGAGAGGAGAGAAAAATAATGCGCAGATAATATAATGCCGTGAACTATCGTTTTCTGTCGATTTATAGAGGGATAGCCGGAAAGCAGAGTAGACGACAACCAGAGAGTAACAGATCGGGAGCGTGTTCTTCCTATCTTTCCTATGAGGGATTTGGATGCGAATGTGGTCAAATTCATCTCAGCCGTTTATGACTAGGATGGATTTGTCTAGGAATCGCGGTTAAATTCAGTTTTTTTTATACAGATGGTATCTTCACTAGATAAAATCATAATTATTGTTTTTCTATGTTTGTGGTTAATTCATGGATATATATTTAACAAATTAGGAACCTGTTAAAAAGTTGGCAACAGTAATTAAGTAATATACATTTCTAGATTTTTATGAACAAATTTAAAATTTAGAAATGAATATAAATAAATCCCTCAAACTATTTATATCATATATGTTATATTTGTATAATACGTGAAGCATTCAACAAACAGGGGGAAATGACATTATGATAATTCGAAAGTAAGAGTTTCAAATACAATTAGTAGTACAAAGGATGATATATGTGATGTTTACTAAATATTCTATCCTACTTTGAAAAAAATAAAGTGCATAAATCACTCTTCTATTAATTTCAAACCGGCTATATTTGATCGGTTTTAAATCGAATTTTTATTTTGTTGAACAGAAAATTGAATTATTTATACTACTAGACAAAATACATTATAATTTTAATATGTTTGAAAAAATTTATTTAATATCCACATCTTATTACCCTTGTAAAATATTCTTTTGACTCTCCATGACATGCATCTTACGACTTACGAGGATTGTAAGCCATTACCTCAAACTTCATTGCTTGTTTTTTACTTTTAGAAAGATCAATACATTCTATTGCTTTTGACCTAATATGTGGCCAACATGGACATTAATTTGCAAGCTCCTCCGAAGAAAGGGGGAAGGGATGGGCTTCGAAGTAAAGGGGGAACCACTAAGGTGGTTGTTCCCCGAAAATGACACTGCTCATTTGGAATACAAGGGGCTTCAATGACCCCCTTGAAGCACAATGTAGTGCTTCATTACCTTCGGGTACACATGGTTTCTATCTTTACTTTACTTGAAACAAGAGTGCAAAATAAAAAGAAAATTGAGGAAATAAGGGGGAAATTTGCTGGTTTCCAGTTTGTGGATAATTGCTCTAAACATAAGCTCGGAAGGATTTGGATTGTGTGGAATGATGATGTTAGGCTACGAGTTCTAGCTGAGGAGGAAAATTTTATGCATATGGTGGTTTCACTGAAGCAGGGTATATAGTTTTTCTTCACAGTGGTGTATGGCTCAAATGAGGAAAAAGATCGTGTTGTCACGTACAAGCAAATGAGTCATTGGAGGGTTCAAGGGGCTCCTTGGGTTGTAGGGGGTGATTTCAATGATATTCTAGACCCTGCAGAGGCCTCAAATGATGTCTCTATCTCAGGAAGTATGATTGCCTTTAGAGAATGGGTGGAACAGATGGAGTTAGTTGACCATAAAGCCTTAGGGCCTCTGTTTACTTGGTCTAATCAACAGCAAGGTAATCCCATTGCTCGCAAGCTGGATATGTTTATGGTTAATGTGGACTGGTTAGAGAAGTTTTCTGAATGCGTTGTTGAATTGCTCGCACCTGATTTCTTAGATCATTGTGGGATTCTGATTATTCCTTGTGTTCCCGAAAAGTCTTATCCGAAACCGTTCTGCTTATTGATATGTGGTATTCGCATGAATCTTTCTCTTCATTGCTGGAAACTTGTTGGGGGCAAGTGGTGAGAGGGACAGGACTGTTTGGAGTTAAACATAAGTTATATCTTCTGAAGTCAGAACTTAGGAAACTGAATAAATCGGAGTTCTCAAATATATCTGCTAGAGTCAAGGATAAAAGGAATGTGCTTATAACTAAGCAGATCCAAGCTCTTCAGGATCCATCTGAAGGGGTTTTTGAGGAAGTTCGCATTCTCTCTAGTGCTTATTTATAGCTGCAAAAAGCAGAAGATGCTTTCTTCCAACAGAAGTCTTGTATTACTTGGCTTGCCCTAGGAGACTCGAACTCAGGGTTTTTCCACAAGTCTGCTTGCATACGTAATACTAGAAAGAAGATAAGGAAAATAATCTCTCATAATGAGGAAGAGTTGACGGATACTAAGGATATTGCCGATGAAGCGATCTTTTCCTATAAGGATCTATTTGGAACTATAAATAAAGACGTGGTTGTGGATTGTGAGCTCATTGAAGGATGCTTGAGTGAGAAGCTGAGAGACTCTCATCGATTTATGCTGTGTGGGTTGGTTTCTGGGGAAGA